CCTTGCCCCAGGAGATCTGCTGAGGCCCCACCTGACCCAACTTACAATCTTACCCAAGCTGGTAACAGAGGCTTTTCCACATGAATGGCTAGTCTTGGCTGATGCTTCACAATTTCCTAACTTCTTTCAAACAAGCAGCAGCTGGCCTTAGTGAGCCTGCAGTTCACATATGTCTTGCTAAGTGGCTGCAGGCTCCTCACTAGCAGCAGCCAGTCTAGGTTTACAGTTTGACTTTGCGTGGGAACCTCCAAGCCCAGCACAAGTAGCAGACATCTCAGATTGGGTTGTCTTATAGCCCAGGCATGGTGGCTCTGGGCAAAACAGAGGTTGTGGCTGATCTTGACCATCACCACCTGGGAACCCCAGAGCCTGAGCACCCAGTAGATACCTACAGACCACATCAGACAAACACCACCCTGCCCCTGCACAGCTAGTCCTTGCAGCTAACTGCCCTGGGTAAATCTCTCCCATTCACCTGCCAACAGCAACTAAGGCTCAACTACAGGAGGAAGGTATACTCAGCCCACACAGAGGGCATACCTCAAGTACCCATCTTGGGTGATGGGGGAGGCTATTCCACTAGTCCCTACAGGACACCTGCTACATTACACCACACTCCCAAGACAGGGAGTCAAAACAGCTCTACCTAACACAGGGATGTCCAACCATTTGGCCTCTTTGGGTCACACTGGATGCTGAAGAGTTGTCCTGGGCCATATATTAAATGCATTGCAGCATGTAATCACAAAAAAAACCCTCATAATGTTGTAAGTAAATTTACAATTTTGTGTTGGGCCGAATTCATAGGAGCCCTGGGCTGCATTAAGCCTATGGGCCACATATTGGACACTCCTGACATAATACATGGAAACAAACACAGGGAGGCTGCCAAAATGAGGAGCAGAGAAACATGACCCAAATGAAAGAACAGATCAAAACTGCAGAATAAGAACTAAACAAAATGGAGATCAGCAATCCATCAAATGCAGAGTTCAAAACACTAGTTATTAGGATGCTCCAGGAACTTAGTGAGGACCTCAACAGCAGAAAAAATATTCAATCAGAAATGAAGGGTACACTAATTGAAATAAAGAACAATTTACAGTGAACCAACAGTAGAATGGATGAAGCCGAGAATCAACTCAATGATTTGGAATATAAGGAAGCAAAAAACAACCAATCAGAACAAGAAGAAAAAAGTACCCCCCCAATCAGGATAGTGTAAAGAGCCTCTGGGAGAACTTCAAGTGACCCAACATTCACTTTGTAGAGGTGCCAGAAGAAGAAGAGAAAGAGCAAGAAATTGGAAATCTATTTGAAAAAATAATGAAGAAATCTTCCCTAATTTGGTGAAGGAAATAGACATGTGAATCCAGGGAGTATAAAGAATCCCAGACATGATGAGTGCAAAGAGGCCCACTCCAAGGCATAACATAATTAAATGTCAAAAGTTAAAGAGAGAATCTTAAAAGCAGCAAGAGAAAAGTAGTTAGTTATCTACAAAGGAGTTCCCATAAGACTGTCAGCTGATTTCTCAAAAGAAACTTTGCAGGCTAGAAGGAACTGGCAAGAAATATTCAAAGTCATGAAAAGCAGGAACCTACAGCCAAGGTTGCTCTTCCCAGCAGAGCTATCATTTAGAATGGAAGGGAAGATAAAGAGCTTCCCAGACAAGAAAAAACTTGAGTCCATCCTCACCAAACCAGTATTTTATGAAATCTTAAAGGGACTTATTTAAGAAAAAGAAGATCAAAACTATGAACAAAAAATGGCAGTAAGTTCACAACTATCAACAATTGAATCTAAAAAACAAACTAAGCAAACAAGAGGAACAGAGAATCGTGGATACAGGGCGTGTTTTTATGGTTGTCAGACAGGAGGGGGTCATGGGGGAATGGGTGAAGAGGTGAGGGGATTAAGAAGTACAGATAGTTACAGAATAGCCATGGGAATGTATCTTTATATCTATATCTAGAGAGAGAGAGAGAGAGAGAGAGAGAGAGGTGTGTGTGTGTGTGTGTGTCTGAAAGAGAGGAGAGAGAGGAGAAAGATTTTAAGGGATTGTTTCACATGATTGTGGGGAGCTGACAGGCTTGAAATTTGCAGGGCCAGTTGGCAAGCAGGAGACCCAGGGAAGAGTATGTGGTAGTCTTGAGTTTGTGGGCAATGTAGAGACAGAATTCCTTCTTCCTTAGGAGACATTTGTCTTTTTTCTTAAAGCCTTCAATTGATTAGATAATGCCTACCCACATTATAGAGGGTAATCTGCCTTTCTCAAAGTCTACTGACTTAAATGTTAATTGCATCTAAAAAATACCTTTATGGTAACATCTAGACTAGTATGTAACGAAGCTGCTGGACACCATAGCCTAGCCAAGTTGACACATTAAATTAAACATCACACCCCTGCTTTTAGGTCTACAGGTGACACTAATCTCTGTCATGTCTTTCAGGATGTTTTTATTTTATTTATTTTTTAATTACTCTTCTGGCTAGGGGATGAGAATGGCAGTTTCAGAGGCTCCCACTTCGCTTTCCACACTATCGCAGCTCCAGAATGCCACCTTAGAGTGTGCATTCTAAGACCATTGCTGACACCAGCTGTGTGAGATCAGGATTGGGCAGATTTGAAACAAAGACCTCATCTGATCCTGTGGAGGCCCTGTGGAGCTAGGTGGGGCTTCTTAGTTGTACCAACACCAGGCAGAGATACCAGGCCTTTGTACTTCCACATTTCCAGTCATTGGACATAGGCAGCTCACTTTAGCTGAGGACAGTTCTGGGAGGGACCCAGAAAGTGCCAGCTGCCACTGAAACAAGTACTTTGGCCCTGAAGCCAGCCAGGATCTGGGTGATGCAACACAGCATCCACTACCTGCTTTTTAAAAATACCGGCTCTATTGAGATACACATACCATAACATTCAGTGGTTTTTAGTATATTCAGAGTTGTGCAGCCCTCACTACAATCTGACTTTAGAACTCATCACTCACAAAACAAATCTCATACCCATTAGCAATCCCTAGGTTCCCCTCCCCCTAGGCAACCATTGATCTACTTTCTGCCTCTGCTGATTTGCCTGTTCTAGATACTTCGTGTAAATACAATGTGTGGGCTTTTCCCATATCTGCTTTAAAAGTTCAATTTGACTCATCATTTAACTCAATACTTTCACTTTCATGTCATCAAAACATGAAGAATTAAATAGTAAGGATAATTAGAATTTAACAATTTATTTGAACATGTCACCTAATATTTTGTCTTTAAACATGTTTCCAAGCAAGAATTCCAGTTCATTCTTTTCTGCAAGAGAAAGCAGTGGCAAGTACTATTTTCTGATTCTTCATAGTACTCAAGTTTGGCTTCTCTAAAATTCCTAGAAATTTTATAGGTAAAGCTTTACAGAAATACATGGTTCTTTTCACTAATAATATTCAGCTCCAAAATATGACTCCATAAATATCACTTATAGCATATTTTACAGAAACATCCACTTTGTCATTTTCTAGCCACAGCTAAGTAGAGGGTGAATTTGGAGAATTTAGAACCATCTTAATGATAAATGTGAAGTATTTAGATTAAAAAAAACTTCACCTTTATTGGAGCCACTAAATAATAGCATTTTCTTCTTTGTATAGATTTTATAGATAAAACTAGAAAATCAGCCCTGGCTGGTGTGGCTTAGTGGATTGAGTACTGACCTGCGAACTAAAGGGTCACAGGTTCTATTCCCAGTCAGGGCACATGCCTGGGTTGCCGGCCAGGTCCCCAGTAGGGGGTGCTTGAGAGGCAACCACACATTGATGTTCCTCTCCCTCTCTTTCTCCCTCCCTTCCCCTCTCTCTAAAAATACATTTTTAAAAAACCCCTAGAAAATCAAGACATTGGTTTGTATTCAATAAATATTTTTTGAATGAAAAAAGTGGTAGAATGAGTGAATTCTAATTGAGAAAGTTTGTCATGTCTGGAAAATCTGAATGTAAAATTTAGTACAATCATTTGTCTGATTGTTTTCTTACTGTTCTCTTAAAGTTAAAACCTAAACATTTGTTTAAAGGAACACAAGAAAGATTCTGTCTTGGAAAATAATGAGATGAGCTGTTGAGGGCAGTGTTACTGGTTCTCAACTTGGCAGGCAGTCAGTGTTTACAGGATTTTGTAGAAATTTAGTTCCGTGAAGTAAAGTATATATTAGACTGGGAATTTAGAGAAGCTAGGTGTGGCCTCAACCCTGTGACTAAATTTTGATTTAAAGATTTCTAAATCAAGTTTTATGCATAGTTTTATGTTTCATTTCTGTCTTCATCTTTCAGTTTGATGTATTTTAGAATATGCCAGGAACAGAAACCACTGATACAACTTACTCCCATTTAAGAAGTAATGACAACTAACGTTTATTGATGCAGTTACTCATTCCTTTATTCAACTAATGTTTTTTTTTGAGTACCTACTATGTGCCAGGGGATTAAAAGGAGTATGATTAGTTTTATCATCAGTTTATTCCTACAGTTTACGAACTACATCATAGCATGTAAAACAAGAGACGTACATTTAGGCACCCCTGCCTCTTACTGACTCTGTGGTCCCGGCTGTGTCGCTCAGTGTCGTTGTGTTTACAATGGAAGAAGTACTTTGAGAGCCTGGATTTGCTAGGGCCACAATTACTCTTAGCTGCAGCCTTACTTCCTTTAACTGTTGGATTTAAGACAAATAGAAATTTTAAAACTGAGAATCAGAAATCAGTCCTTGAAAGAGGCATCTCTTTTTTCATGTAAAAATGGAATATTTTAAGTAAAGAATTGACTTTTTTGTAGGAACTTAGAATTCTGAACACATACACATTTAGTTTCAGAAAGGAGACTGTCTCATTAGCTTGCTGTCTAGTCTAGCATATTGGTTCATACATGTTTGTGTGACTTTGAAAAGAAGCCATGGGTCTTTCAATATTTATAGAATCCAAAGTACTTCCCATAAACATCATCTTCTTTTCTTTTCCTTAGATAGATAAAAGCCCAGAAGGACAATTCACTCAGCTAATGACATTGCCCAAAACCTTACAGCAACAAATAAATCATATTATGGACCCTCCTGGAAAAAACAGAGATGTGGAGGAAACTTTATTACAACTTGCTCACGATCCTGACTGTGGAGAGGTGGTGCGACTAGGTATGTTTTTGAATTTGATGTTGAGGAAGTGCTGGCCTTGGTTGAAAGCAAACTTTGTGTTGTGATGTATCCTTTATTCTTCCTTACCTGGTAAGATCAAGAAATAGATTGCTTCTAGGAAGAAGAAAGCACTAACAATCTGGGGGTTTCCAGTTTTAAACTTTCATTCATTGAAGTAGGTTGGTATAAAAGTATTTCTATTTTCAAATCCCTGGGCCCTAAATCACCATCAAAGGGGGAAAACAATGTTTCCTTTGGTCCCAAGAGCGTAACTTCTAGCAGTTATTTCAAAGGCAAGTGTTCTTCATGGTGGTCTGAGAAGGAAGGAGACTGGTGGCATTTTTAATGCTTTTCTAATACCAAGAACACAGCTTGCATCAGATAACCTTGAAAACACAGCTTTCAGCAGCCAGCTCCCATTCAGTGTGTCTCACAGTGTGTTCAGCAGGTTCCCTCTGACATGGCCTATGTTCTCCACATTATTCCCGGGACCTCCCTAATATTCACCAAAAAAACCTGAACCTTATCTTCAAAGACCCACTCTCCTTTGAGGTGTTAAAGGTAATTTATGAGGTCAGTTGGTACAGAAATACTTTTGAAATTGAAAATGACTCCCTTCCTCAGATGTGTACATTTTCTTATTTCACTAAGTACTTAATGAGCTTAACCCTCCAGGGTGCAAGCCACTGTGCTGGATAGTCACAGTGACAACATTGAACATCAACTGCAATAGGCAGGCTCCACGCACATTCTCAGGGACCTGCCCCAGGCTGTCGGAGCATGGGTGTAGGTCACCAGATACCTATTCTGAACATAAATATGGAGGCATATTCTTTGTTCGTTGTTGTTTTCATTTTCACATCATTCTGGTCACGGTATGGTCTCTGCTGCCTTCCACAGGGCATGAGGGACCATACTGTTGATCCTCACTGAGGACTCTTGTCTGTGTGTTTTCATTTTCAGAATGAAAGCTTTATTACTGGGCAGAAACATCTGGTTTTTTCTTTCTTTTTTTTTTTTAATCCTTTTACATCTTGGAATTGAAAACCAGCAGCCTTAAGTATATTTAAAGCCATAAAATGACCTGTTTTACGGTGAGGAGGCCCAGGCCCAGAAGGGTCAGTCATTTGCCTGTGCTCATATAGCTGCTCAGTGACACAGCTGGCCGCTCCGGCCTCCCCACCCTCAGTCCTGATATCCTCCCACTGTCATTCTGACACTAGGATGGAGATAGATTTGCCAGTTTTATTGGATAACTGAAAGAATATTTAGTTCCAGGTTTTAAAGTGTAAGATGACTAACATCTGGGGTTTTTGGCATCCTTGTTGGTTTTTTTCTCATAGGGCTTTCAGCAATCGTGAGACCTTCTAGTCTGAGACAGAGCACCAAAGGCATTTTCACTGCTGGTAAGAACTTTAAAAAATCCATACTTAATGATGCTGCTGGACTGAGTGGCCTCAGAGCCCCTGGTTAAAAGGTAGAGTTCTGTCTATACCCTGCAAGGACTTCTGAAATGCTGACTTTCAATGGTCATAAGCCAGGATATTGCAGTAATGTACAGACAGACAGACACCACTGTAATCGGGTCATCTGAAAAAGTAAAACCATATGAGGTACTATAGGAAGGCTTAACTGCCCCTCTAAGTTTTCCAAATAACTCCTTGTGGCAGGCTTCCCCTCATGTTTTTTATTTATGAAAGTTACACATGCACATCACTGCAGAAGCACAGTGCTCGCCCTCCTCCCCACTTCCCTGCTCCGGACACAGCCGCTTTCAACTCTCTCACTGGGCTATTTTTTTCACTGCCAGCTCACTAAATAATAAGTTTATATTTCTGCTTCTTGGCGTTTCACTTTTAGGCATTATTTGTTGACTTCTCACTATGGTAGATTAGAATTCAACTCTTCTACCCTACCTCAGCACACACACTCATCCCTCTGTTCTCCCAGTACAGTTAGATTGTAGCTCTAGTAAAGTCAGTCTTCAGCGTTCACACTGTACGACTATGTTAGTGAGAGCCATTGGTAAGCCGCGTAATACACTTTTCCTTCTCTGTAGAACTTTCTCTTTTTCTTTTTAAGATTTTATTTATTTATTTTTAGAGAGAAGGGAAGGGAGGGAGAAAGGGAGAGAAACATCAATGTGTGGTTTCTACTTTTCCTATTGTATGCCCCCCACTGGGGACCTGGCCTGCAACCCATGCATATGCCCTGACTGGGAATCAAACCTGTGAGCCTTTGCTTCACAGTCCTGCACTCAATCCACTGAGCCACATCATCAAGGGCCTTCTCTGTAGAGTTTTCTTTGCCCACAGAGATTGTCTTTACCTGTCTCAAGTGAGGGATACCCTCTTTCCAGTATCTCATTCTTTTATCTTCATGGTACATTACTCTTGTTTTGGTGAAGCACACCACGTAGTAATTTTCTGAGAAAGGGTACATGAGAGGCAAATTTGGAGACCATGTATGTCTAAAGAAATCTTTAGTCTACCCTCCCACACAATTGAGACTTAGGCTAGAGATAAATTGGAAATAACTTTCCATTAGAATTTTGATATCATTGCTCCAACTATCTTCTCATTTCTAGGGATTGCTATGGAAATCCAGAGACATTCTGATTGTTAATCCTTTGTGTATGTTCTTTCCTGAAGCCTGTTAGGTCCTCATTTTCCTACAGGGCTCTGATGTGCTTTGATGACAGTCTCTTTTTATCCGTTATGTTGCCCATTGCTCTTTCATTTTAGACACTCAGAATATCCGAAAAACTTTATTTATTCTTTTTACTTTCCTCCTATCTGTTTTTTCTCTTTTCTTTCTGGAACTCCTTTTATTCAAATATTGGACCTCTTAGACTAGTCCTTTGGTTTTCTTTTCTCTCCTATGTTTGATCTGTCTTTTTGTCTTGCTTTCTGGGAGATTTTCTAAACTTTAGCTTCCAACCCTTCTATTGAGTTTTTAAATTTCTATTATATTTTTAATTTCTAGGAGCTCTTTAATTTTCTTTCATTCTTTTTTGTTGTTGTTGTTCTCTGAATAATAAAAATTTTTAAACATTCCATTCTTGATTTATGGGCTAAAACGTTTGAACATATCTTTGAGTATTGCCAAATTGCCCTCCCAAGTAGTTATATCAGTGCCACTAGTAGTAAATGAGAGTTCTTTTTTCTCTCCATTCTTTCCAGTGCTTGGTATTGTCAAATGGTGGACTTTTCTATTTCCATATTTCTTATGTAACCATCTACTGAACATCTCTCATGTGCTAGCCACGCAGTATACAAAGTGAACTCAAGACACCATCCTGCCTTCAAGAAGTTCATAGTCTAGAAAAGGAGACAGACATGTAAGTAGAAATTTGCAGGCACACTAGGGCATAAATGACTCAGTGGTAGTAATTCAAAGATGGGAGTGATCTTTTGGCCTGATTCTGATCCCTGAGTTGAAATTGCCAGGGGGCTGGCATGGCCACGCCTCTTAGCGGCTCACCCACCCCAGCTGCCTGGACACACTGCTGTGTGTTTGGTCCCAGTGACACTCTGTGGTCCCTCCTAAATCTTTGGAAAGATTCAGCCAAAGAGTCAAGAAAAATTTAATAGCACAGGTGCCAATTCTGAAGATATTTCTACCACCCAAGGGTAAAGAGCTTCGCATTTTCAATTAAGATAGTACTTAAACTGTTTCTGCTGGTTTATCCTGGCAAGGTTGAAGATGAGGTGCTTTTGTTTGTGTGGGTGGTTTGGGCTGTTACTCTGTGTTTTGCATGATTGCAGCTCCCTTTCTGTAATATACCTCCTTGGGTGAGGCTGAATGCCTTGGGCAGTTTTGTTTATTTTCTTTTTCTTTCTTTCCTTTTTTTTTTTTGGCTTCATGTGCTTACATAAGGAATTACTACATTTATTGGTGATTTTTTTGTTGTTGTGAGAATGGTAGTAGGATGGAGTTTTAAAAAAATCCTTTTTTTGTAGAAATACATGCTAAAATATTTACAGATGAAATGACAGGATATCTGATGTTTGCTTCAAAATAAAACTTGCTGGAGGGAAGTGGGTAAAGAGTAGATGGCACAGGATTGGTCATGACTTGATAAATTCTTGAAGCTGGATGAAGATGCGTGGCAACATACTGTTTTTTTATGACTTTAAATTTTTCTCTAATAAAAGGTTTTTAAAAACCAGTCATCATCATCTCTTGACGCTTAAGCTGAAATGAACCTTTGGTCCTCTCTCCACTCCTTTCCAGTGACCAGCAGAGGGCAGTGGGTAACACCTCACAGAACACAACCCGGATTTCTTTGTGGCCATGGAGTGAGTGCCCATTTCAGGTTCCCCTGAGTGCTCGATGCCTGTTTCCCTTTTCCTTCTAAAGGTACCTCATTGGGTTGAGGAAGTCCAGAGAATGTCTGTAACCTGCACTGAGGTTGCAGAAATTGTGGAAAGTAGTTGAACATCCCTTCAGATTCTGTAGGTTTACTTACCTTATGCTCTGTCTTATCTGATTCATGATGGCTGTGGCCTGATGAAGGCAGCACAGGCCACGGGCAGCAATTTGTGAGCCCCAGAGACAAGGGTTCAAATTCCAACTTAACTACTTTGACTTGGGCAAGTTACCTAATTTTTCTCAGATTTAATTTTATGGGGGTAATTAAGAGTTATTTCTTAAATATATAAAAGTATCTAGTACTGTCCTAGGGGTTTTTTTTAATCATTACCTAAAAGTTTCCTGGCATCTCTTTAGAACATGGCTCTCAGCACTGTCATATTCAGATGCATTCGTCCCTTAACCTGGTCTCCAGCTGGAGTACACTAGCAGTGAAATGAACTGAGTGGTCAATTTATCTGTTTCTTTTCCCTCTGACTTCACAGCAAGCTTCAGGACCTCCATCCCCCTGCACTTTGTTCTTTAGAAGTCCTCTCATTGCAGTTGTAGCTGCTGTTGTTCTGCCTTGCTTTTGCTAAGGCTGTCTCCACTCATTCCCCAAAGTTCTACCTCTGTTCAGTTTTTCAGACAGCTGATGAATCACCTGCAGGGTGAGAAAACCCAGTGTATTCCTGGGTTGAGATATTATTCTTTTGTAGCCTTTATCACTCTGCTTCTTTTCAACCTCCTACTCATATAGGGGTAAAAAGGAAGGTTAAAAAGCAAGTATCTTTTATATTCAATTCAGACAGGTAGCTGACTGAGGAGCTAAGATTGGGGTCAGAAGCCATTGGCTTGAAGTTGTGGTTGTTCACTTCTTGGCCCTTTAACCTTGGTATGTTAATTAGCCCTCTGCCTTGAAACTATGGGGCTACTCATACTCAATTCACAAGGTGTTCTGAGAGTGTCCAGTATGTTACCCAGTACCTAGTAGGTGTTTTATAAACTTGGGTGAGTCTAGATCTAAATCTCACCTAGAAAAGATGGAAGCCAGGAATCCATAAGCAGCTCAGAGGATTGCCTTTTCTTCTACACTGTGTTGGATGACACGGCACTGTGTTCTCGTGCAGTCTTCTCACACTCCGTGAGTTCCTGTGAAATTCCCTGACAATCAGATACACCCAGAGAAGTGAGTACAGAAATGCTTCCAAAACCAAACATATTTTTTCCCTTTAGCCTGAGTTTTGATCATTTAAAATATAATGCTGACTTCTCTTAGTGCTGTTTGGTAGAATAGCATAGTTCTCGTCAGGGTAGCAGATCAGCAGCTGGAGCCAGCCAGCTCAGCAGTGTATTCCTGGTGAAAGGAATACACCAGGAATACCAGGAGTAGTGAAAGACTGTTCAGCCTCCTAATACTGGTCTGTTCCTCCTCTCATAGTAGCAGCAGATGGTATCACATCTCAAACCGATAACAGAAGACCAGCTAAAGCAGCCTGTCATATTCTGAGAACCAGCAGTCTTTTATGTTTTTAATCTGCTTGAAGAGAAGTAGAACTGTTTGAGTATTCTGGTGTGGGAATTAGAAGAGAAATGGCAGGGTTGGGCAGGGGTGGGGTGGGGGGGCTAGCATTTAGCGATTAAACTGAGAAGTAAGCAGGAGCCAGACAAGGGAAGTCCTTAAAAGCCATGAAAGGGAATTCAGAGTTTCTTTTGAGGGCAGAGGGAAGCCCCTGAAGGATTATAGAAAAACCACTATCCCTAGAGAACTGAGAATAGAGTGAAGGGAGATAAAGCCATTGCTTGGGAAACTGGTTAGATATGGTTGCAGTCAGCCAGGTGAGGAATCATGGCAGCCTGAACTCAGGTCACTGCACTAGAGGCAGAGAGACGAGATGCTAGCAACATTTAGAAGGCAGATTGCCCAGTCTTAGTGATTGGAGGGATGGGGGAAGTGAGGGAGAGCGGGAAGTCACAAATACCTCCCAGGTTTTTGGCTTAGGAAGCAGATGGTAGTGCCATTTCAGGAGGTGAGGAAGATAGGGAGGGTATAATGAGTTTAATTTTTGAAATCTTGCTTTAATTTTTCCCCACCTGACTTTATGGTCAGTCAGAATTAACTCTGGGGACAGATACCTATTTACTTCTCCAGCTTCAGAAGATTCAGCTGAATTAACAAAACAGGTTTAGTCTTGTTCCTAAAAAGATTCTGGCATGCCTCAGTTGAGTCTTACCAGCCCTTTCCCGGAACCCAATGGAATGGATCATTCATGGTTCTTTGCTTCTGATTTCCTATAACTAAAACATTTCTTCTATTTTTTGGTACCTACATAACACATAATAACATTTAAGATTTTTTTCTGGTAAAACCCTTCAAGATCATTTGAACTTGAAAGTTTTTAAAATAAGTTGTACTTTTGCCTCAGAAGAGATATTTTTATAGATATATCTAACTCTGTTTGGAAATTAATTAGAAAAATGGTGAGGGCTTACTGATTTTCCCTCCAAAAGACCTGAAATATAGAATGATGGGAAGATAGAGACCCCCATAACTGACTCATATCTCTGCCTCACGTGGTTTGCTAGAGAATTTTGTCTGTCATTGGATCCATCAGTTGGAGGTCACATAGGCAACTCATAGTATTACAGTTGTAGTAACTTTGCTGTAGGTCACATAAAACAAGCCAGAAATCAACAAAAGATATATATTGAAGTTGATTTCTGTATCCTTTCAAAACAAAATCCTGACTTTAGATACTAATCAGAATTCATAATAACTAGCTATAGGCAAATAAGCACCTGTCTAAAGAAGATATATTGTTTTTAAATGTCGCATCTTTATCCACTGGGGAAGGAACAAAGACAATGATGATGGGCCTTAGAGTGAAATTTCTGTCTTAGGTGGCTGTCTTCCCTCAAGATACTAGATGCAGACTTCCTAAATCACCATCCTTTTTTAAAGAAAGGAAGTAGAAACCAAAAGTAAGGTTAATGTAGACCAAGTAGAATTCTATGTATTGTAAACTCTCTGAGGGCAGAGACCGTAACTGTTGTTCATACCCCATCCCCAGCAACTCGCTCGGTGTCTTATATAGGCGCTCAATAAATACTCATTTGGTGTATTTCAGTGACTGAATACATGAAAGATTCTAGGTCTTATGGAATTATGGAAAATCTCCATGTATATAGAAAAGTGCACATCATAAATTGGTGAATTTTCACAATTATGAACCTAGTTCCCAGAAGAAAAAATAGAACAATACCAACCAGTGCCCCAGAAATCCCTAGTCACAGCCACTACCCCTCCAAGAGTAACTAACTACTCTCTTGACTTCTAGTGCCATGCTTTTGTTTTGCCCATTGTTGAACTTTACATAAATATGCACTCTCTTGTGTCTCCCACATCTCATAACATCAGTGCGATTCATCATGGTATGCAGAGTAGCAGTAGTTAATTTATTCTCATTACATCCAGTCCACTGTGTGAATACACACAATCCATCTGCTCTACTGTTGATGCCTTCTTGAATCATTTCCAGTTTGGGGTTACTACAGGTAGTGCCGCTGGTTTTGTACCTATCTTTTGGTAAGTGTGTTTATGTGTTTCTGTTAGGTATAAACTTAGCGGTTAGAATTACTGGATCATAAAGTGTGTGAATGTTTAACTGTTTGCTCTCTACAAAACATTTGTCCAAATTATACTCCCAGTAGCAGAGTTCCTATTGCGGCACTCCCTTGGCCAAAATTTAATAATATTATATGTCTGTGTCATTTTAGGCACTCTGGTAGGTGAATAGTAGTATTATACTGGAGTTTTAATTTACATTTTCTGATGACTAATAAAGTTGGGCATTTGTTCGTATGCTTGTTTGGATCTCTTTTGTGAAGTGCCTATTCTTGTCTTTTGCTCTTTTTCTTTTGAGTTGTCTGCCTTTTCTTACTGACTCGTCTGTGTAATCTGGACATAGGTCCTTTGTGGAATATACATAATGCAAAAATCTCCCTCTCTAGAGTCTGTTGTTCCAGTCTCTTAATGATGTCTCTTGGTGAAAAGAAGCTCTTACTTAGCCCAATTTATCCAGTTTATCCTTTATGGTTAGCAGCTTTTTGTGTCCTATTTACAAAATTTGGCCTATTCCAGGTTTATGAAGTTTAAGTCCTTCACCTTTGTTGCAATTAGAATATTGAGGCAAATGGGACCCTTTGGTCTGTTGGTTCTTACCCTTTTGCAAATCCTAGCTCGCTGTGAAAATCTGGCTAAAACGCTGGACCCTGTGCACAGAAGCACACGTGTGCACCTGCACAGCAGGCTGCTACATGCAGTTGCAGGGAATTCGTAGACTAGCACGAATTCGTAGACTAGCAAGGCCTGTCCACAGGCCTCTTGTTAGAGAACCCCATCCTAGTCCAAGCCAGTCATTGTGCAGATGAGGAAATCAAGGCCAGAGAGGGAGACCTACACTGTAAGTTTGTGGCCCAGGTGGGACCAGAATTTGAGTCTCTTGGCTGCTATCCCAGTGCCCTTTGTAACACAGGTCCCCACTGCAGTCTTTCTGAGACTCTGTCTGGCAGAGCCATCGAAGGGAGAGACTGTTTTCAATTAAGGGAGGTTTCTATGGACTAGCAGGAAAAAAAAAGCTACATGGTGTCTCTGATGTACTTTATGTATTTAACTTAAATGTTATGCTTCAAGGAGTTTGTGAGTAATTTTTTGAAGCTTAACTGGGACTTATCATGGTCGATGCATCTTCCTCTAGCTGTGACTCAGTGCCCCGGGGTTGCTGTGTTGAACCTCACCATATATAACTACCTGTATTCTGCTTAGTGTCTTGATTGGTTCTGGCTGGAATTTTAAAAAGCACCTTACGTAATAACTTTCCAGTCTCAATGCTCAAGTGGGTGAGGTTTACCAGAGTGGTTGCTCCAGGGAGAAAATTAAAAGGGGTGGAGGCAAGGAAAGAAGCCCTGAGTTTGACTAGGCTGTGTCAGTTCGCAGGTAGTCAGCCAGTCAGTAAACAAGCCAGGCCAGAGTTTCTGCAAGTATTTGCTAATGATTTTACTGGTACCTTGCCTTTTAACCTGCTGCTGCCTGCAGTAGCCTCTTAAAAGGTTCTAAGTGGACTAGGCAGCTTACAGATAAACATGGCCAGGTATTTTCAAGAGATCTGTCAAACCCCAGTGCTAAGAGTCCTGGAACAGACCCTGCCCAGGGACTCCTCATCCGCGGTGCTTACCAAGTGCACTTCAGGGGTGTGCATTTCATACCCACAGCACAGGCCACAGTTTGTCCTCATGGTGAAAAAGCCTCTTTGGATCTTTGGGTCCCACCCTGAAACACAGACTGAATGATCTCATTGTCAACACACAAAAAAGTTGAGCCCATAATACTGTCTGCAAATAGGATCCTATTAGATCTGACAGACAAATAACATCCCATTTATTCTATCCCTCCCATTTTTCTTCATTCCTGTAAGTCCCCCAGACAGCTTTTCCAGTTTCATCTGGTACTTGTGATTAAGTAGACAGAGGGTGCTGGAAGGTCAGATATCTGAATGAGGTGCATCTGTTCTGTCATTTTGAAAGCATTTACCAAATACCTCCTATGTGCTGGGTACTATACTGGGTGATGGGAAAACAGGGATGAATAGAACAAGGTCTTTAACCTCAAGGAACTCCCAGGCTAGGCAGAGGGACAGGTTAATAAACAGTGGGGTGAGTGCTGTGCTGTGCGTCAGCACACGTGGTGTGAACCTAGAAGGAGCAGTGTCTGCATTGGCCTGGGGAGTAAAGGAAGACACTTTTAGAGAAGAAATCTGAAAGGGGATTGGATGTCCACCCAGCAGAAAGTGATGGAATCGACACTCACTCTGGGCAGGTCAGTGACACAGAAGCAGTGAACTGGGGTTGGTTGGAATGCAGGCAGTGGGAGTGAGAAAGTGCCAAGGATGCCCACTTACATACAGATCTTGCCTTTGTTCTTCCTTTCTCCTCCTTTTTAAGAACTACTAAATTCATGCCCTGGCTGGTATGGCTCAGTGGATTCAGTGTTAGCCCAAAAACGAAAAGATCTCTGGTTCAATTCCCAGTCAGGGCACTTGCCTGGGTTGCAGGCCAGGTCCCTAGTCAGAGATGCGCAAGAGGCAACCACACATTGATTTTTCTCTTCCTCTTTTTCTCCCTCCCTTACCTACTCTCTAAAAATAAATAAATAAAATCTTTTTTAAAAAAGAACTACTAAATTCCAAGGCTGCCAATATACTTGTATCTCAAGTATATGAGTAAAGATTCACTTACCCCAGAAACTCAGGTACCTTTGACATCCGTATTACTGTTTTAATAAATGCCTAAATCAGAATCTTTTCCCCTCATCATCATGGTGACCTTTAATAACCTTTGGCTCCCAGGGTCTCCTAGACATCTCAGTCAGCCCATCATTGTCCACTCCGAAGACAAGTCTCTGGTCTGAATATCATGGAACCTCTAGCTGTGTATCCACTCAGTAAGCCTCAGTTTTCTCACTGTCTCTTCTTTTCTCTTTTAGGCATGAAGAAATCATTGCATTATAGTTCACTGAAACTGCATAAAATGTGGAAAGGATGGCTGAGGAAAATGTCCTAATTTTGCTTGCTTTTATACATGTATAGATGAATAAAGTGTTCCCTTTTGACAAAACAGTGTTTGTTACTTTGACCCATTGCTTGAATTTGAAAATACCTTGGTTTGTGTAATACAGCAGGTCCTCAAATAATATTGTGTCTTTCAATGTCATTTCGTTATGATGTTGATGAGGGGAAAAAATCGATTCCTGGACAGAGCCACTATCTGTGTGGAGTTTGCATATTCTCCTCGTGTCTGTTTGGGTTTTCTCTGGGTACTCCGGTTTCCTCCCATATTCCAAAGATGAGCACATGAGGTTCATCAGCGAGTCTAAATTTTCCCAGTCTGAGAGTATGTGTGTGTGTGTGTGTGTGTGTGTGTGTGTGTGTGTGTGCACGTACACACCCCCTGCATTGGAAGGGCTTCCTGTCCCGCCAGGCAGATTCTAGCCTTGTCCCCAGAGCTGCCAGGTTAGGCTCCTGCCACTCACCACCCTGACCTGGAATGAGTGAGTTGAAAAGTAATTCTTTTACTTGTTCTTATTCATCTTTCTTAAATGTATGTATAGTCCAAACTTATTTCAGTGCTTCATATTAGAAGAGTTCTCAGTCTTTATTTGAAGTTTGGTGATGTTTTTATGACCAGAAATATGCCATAGGAACTTAACTCTTGTTTATCAATTAGCTTTGGATAAAATTGGTGTGTTACACATTGTTTTGCTTCAAGAGTTGCAGTTTCCAAGAACATTTAGACCATGTTAAGTGAGGACTTACTGTACTTGATTTTTTAAATGTATGTTTTAGATGTTTATGCAGGGGAAGCCAAATACCTTTGAGGACTTAGCATGAGAAGAGAAGAAGCCTCTTTACATTCAGAACCACCTGGGTCCTGCTTTTCTAAGAGCTTCAGCTGTGGTCTGCGTTCTTTGGTACATGAACATCAAAGACCTGAGACATGGTGTGTGTGCTTACGGACACAAGCACCGGGAGCTACAGGTTGGGGGAGTTTGGCTCTCTGCCTGCTCTCCATCCGGGTTCACTTGGTTTTTCTCCAGTGAGAACTCACAGGTGTCACATCAATATTTTCCCATATTTAGGCTTCTGTTTTTCTTAGTTTTCCATAAAAGGTATGTGGCAGGGACATTTGGAGGAGCAGCCTATAGCAGACCCCTTGCAAAGCCTTCCCTATTGTAAGAGTGAAGAATGTTTGGGCAATGGGAAACCCACTGCAGAGTACTTAAACAACAAAAGACTCTTTAGCTCAAAGAACTGAAAAGTTAGAGGTGTGGTGGGCTTCAGAGTTGGTTTGACTCAGCAGGGTAATAGAATCCTCCAGGACTCAGTTTCTCCATCTCTCCTCTCTCTGCCCTTTGCCGTGTTAGCATCATGCCAAGGCTGGCTCCCCTCTTAGTTCTGAGATTGCTGGCAAGAACTTCAAGGGCTATAAGCTTTCCCATCCGCATTTAGGGAAACAGAGGGTTCCTTTCAGAAACCCTCTTAGAAAACCAGGAAAACTTTACAGCAGCCCCCAGCAAGCCTCCGTCTGGTTTCACAGTCCCTAATTGGGTTACCTGCCCATCTGCAAGCCAGTAACTGGCTGAAAGAAGAAACCAGGTTGATGAGTTTAGGCCTGAGGCACTTGCCCCACCTGAGTCAGCCTCCCCTCAAGCCCAGGGGTGGAGGGAGGGAGTGGACGCCTGGATGCAAACTGAGGGGAAAGCTGTTGGAAGGCAACTGTCTTGTCCATCTTGGTCATCACCTCAGTGTCTTCGGTCTGACCTCAGATTTTATCTTTCTTTTGTTCATATTGTCTCTCCACCTCTCACTGTTTCCATTGCACAGTGCTCTAGTGCAGACCCTTAAGTTCTCTTGTAAATTTGAACAATTTTTTTGTATGTATTTTTTCTACCTTTGGGTTCAGCTGATTCGCACCCAAATTAGAAGCCTCATGGTATGGTGAAGGGAGCACAGGCTGAAGTTGTGACCAAACCATGTTGAATCTCTGCTCCACTGCTGACCAGCTGTGTGACTTAAGGCAAGTTATTTAGCCTCTGAACCATTTCTCTGTGAAATGGGGATAACATTACAGGTCTCTTCAGCTTTTGTGAAGATCCTGTGAGCTAAGGAGCCCATGTACTAGAACGCTGCCTAGCAGCATTCAGTAAATGGTTATCACTGTTATCATTATTTTGTACTGTTGTTTTTGTTGTTCCTTTCTTCTATGAGCCCTTCTGTTTCTGTGTCAGGCTCTTCCTCCAGAAGCTGAAGTAATTCCCCACTACTTACAGGATAAAATAAGAATGTCTCATTCCCTGCAGTCAGTTCATACCACTGTAACAGGTGGTCACCTACTGGGCTTACAAACAACAGAAACTTATTTCTGACTGTCCTGGAGCCTGGAAGTCTGTGACTAGGGTGCTAGCCTGGTTGGGCTCTGGTGAAAGCCCTCTTCTGGTTTGCAGAGGGCTGTTTTCTCATATCCTCACTTGGTGGGGAGGGCAGGGCCCAAGCAAGCTCTAATGTCTCTTCTAATAAAGGCACTAATCCCATTCACAAGAGTTCCACCCTCATGAAGTGATTACCTGCCAAAGGCCCCATACCTGAATTCCATCACATTAGAGGGTTACAATTTCAAGATACCAATTTGGCGGGGACATATACATTCAACTCAGCAAGCCTTCTCAAGATCTGCTAACTGCCTTTATTTTTATTTTACTTTAATCTTCTACCTCCAGTGCCTGATAGAGTTCTTCATGTCCTCAACTATTTTCCAAAATAGATACTCACTAGAGCACAGACCATTAATGTCATTTTCCAGCTGGGACGACCTGAGGCCCCAGGAGAAGTGACTGCCTAGTGTCATAATATTGGGAGTAACAATAGCTGAGAACCTAGGCCTACAAGCTCCTGTGTAGTGCCTTTTCCCACTTGAATACTTGAGCCTTTGTGTTTCACTTCCTCTAGATGTATTTTTTCTCGATTAATTTTGAAGTATAGATATCTAAGTTGGGATTTGTCAAACAGTTACACAGGGTGAGAATGAGACTTCCTCGGAGGAAGATGGAGTTCTTTGGCAGGAAGTAGCCCTTCTCAAATTCCAGAAGACCCCCAAAATAAATGTACTTCAGAGTCAGACCTCTTTTCAGCTATGTTCTTGGGCAAGTTACTTAACCATTCTGAGCCTCAGTTTTTATGTCATAAGATAGGTATGCTCATACCCATCTGGCAAGACTGGTGTTAAATAAGAATATATTAAAGCACCTAGTTTAATCCTTGGCACATGATAATAGTTAATGTTTCTACAAATCACTTTGCTATGCAATTCAGATCGTGAGTTTAGATAGCTAGAAATAATCCTGACTTATAATATAATAATTCTGACTTATGTGCATAAGTCAGAATCCAGTCAGGAAAAGAGAAACCATCCTATGTATGTCAAATAGAGGGGATTTAATAAAGGAAACTTATTACAAAGATGTTGAAAGGGCAGCAAACAAAAGAAGGGGTATGCTGGAGAAGGAAGAAAGGATGACTCCCAGGGGTCAGGAAGCAGCTGACATCCGCGGGCTGCCATCTCCAAGTGGATCTACTTGCTGTGTTGCTGGAGTTGCTGCCTGTATTGATTTCAAAATACATTCACAGATTCTTTGGCTCCACTCACATCAGTAGGTGGAGTCTAATTCTCTTTCCTTGACTATGGAAAGGCCTTAGTGACTTGATTCTAACAGATAGAATACATCAGACAAGGTACTCTATGACCTCTAAGATGAGGTCCTAAAAGATGACACAGCCTGTCTCTCTTAGAACACTCCTTCGTGGAACCTAGATGCCATGTGAGGAAGTCCAGGCCACATGGAGAGGACAAGTGTAATAAGTGTTCCAGCTGGCAGAGAGCATCAACTGCCAGATGGGTGAGCGAGCCTTTGTGGTAACTCCAGCTCCAGTCACCACCTGACTGCAGCCCAGCATGAGACTCCAAACCATTACTGCCTAGCTGCGCCCAGTCAGCTCCCAGAACTCTGAGGGGGAATAAGAAAATGATTATTGTCAAAAGTCTTGAAGTTTGGAGAAGACTTTTTATGCATCATTAGAAAATTGGCTCAATGCCCCTACCACTGTGGGGGCTGCCAAAGAGGTGCCACCACTGCCCAGATGCCACTTGGGGACCATGAATAACTGCTGCTGCTGATGGAGTTAAACCCAGGAACTTCTTATCTGCCCCACCCTTGATCTCATACCGATGACTCCGACTGGCAAAGCTCATTAGGAGGTTACCTGGTAAGAAAGCTGGGGACATGGAGTTTGCAAACACCTACCCCCAGAAGGGTAGAGTGGACTGTAAAAGGGTAGAATGGGTGTGCAGCTGAGGCCCACCAGATAAATAACTACCATGTCCACTCCTTCCATGACTGAATATCCATGTACACCCTTCAATTCATACATAAGCTTCCTACAATAATGGCAGGCTCCAGCTTCCACCTAACATGATGCAACTATCCTTTGTACTAAAGAAAATGCTCTTTTGTAAAAATTTGTATAATGCTCATTTTCTGCTTCCTGGCAGAAAATGAACATTATATCCATCTCTGGGTGATGCTAATTTCTCTTGTAATCACAATCTCACCTGGCTGTCATATAACCTAGAAACTAACCTGTAAAGTTAACCACCACAGATACTCCTTGTAGAAAATAACAGGAGAATGAAGGAGGGTAAAACATATTCTTGCTGTCAGTGATACGGAGATACATAGAAGTAATGGCATCTATTGGTTGAGCCCTTACAGTGTGTCAGGCACTGTTTTAGGAAGCTATACATTTATTCATTTAATCCTCAACGCAGCTTTATATAAGAATTCTTATTATTCCTTATTTTATGCCTAAGAAATGGAAGCACAGAGAAATAATATCTTACATACATTTTCACAGGTAGTATATGACAGCCAGGTGAGGTTGTGATTACAAGAGGAATTAGAGTCCCCCAGAATGGATATGAATGGAGGGAGCAAGTGATGTCCAGCCTGTTACTTTAAAAACAAGTAAGTTACCCAGAGGAGAGGGAAGAGTGTCCCAGACATA